TCGCGCACACGGTCGTATATGCATATACATAGTATAATCTGGCCGTAATTCTACCTTTTCACGAACAATATCACTCCGACAGCGATTTTCTCTCTTTATATGATGCTCTGGCTCTCAGTATGCGACTCTGTACGATGCATTTAGCCCCTCTTTCTCACTTTTTCTTTCTCTCTCTCTCTCTCTCTCTCTCTCTCTCTCTGTATGCATATGCGCGCCTATAAATACGTGTATACGTGCGGGTGCGCTGCACAGCAGCAATATTATCTTCCTTTTTTTCTATATCTTTCACGCGGCTCGCAAGCTCGGATATTATTGTACGTGTGTGTGCGCGGGAGATCACCAGATGCGGACTGTGCGCGCGAGCGAGTATTATTGCCGTTGTCGCGCGCGCACTGCGCTAGAGAAACACACGCGGACTTGCATTTATGAAGGTCATAAATTACCAAATCGCAAATTGCACTTGCTCGCTCGGCTGCATGTAGTACAGCTGGTGCGCGCCTCTCTCTCTCTCTCCCTCTCGGTACCTACAACGTACTGTGGGCTCGCAATCCTTATGGGGAAAAGAGTCGAGAGAGATTTTAACATGCGAGCTAGCTCCATGCATTGTGCACGAGAGGCCGTGCGTTATTGCACGCCTGGCAATATAATCTTAAGCTCCGTGACTACTATGTTAATTTAAAAAAGAAAATTCCGTTCGTAATGATAATGATTAACGATCTCTCGTGGCTTTCGAATTAAGGCATATTTGAATGTCGCTATTTATTCACTACATTTTCCTTTGAAATTCCATTAAATAATGTCTAATTAAATTTATACCTCAAGTTGTTGTGATTAAGGGACGAAAAATACATCATCGTCAAACAAGCTGAAAATTGTTCAGTAAATCACCATTATGTACACTTTAATCTTACGCTTCTAATAGCTCTAAATTTTTGATGAAAATTTTAAATCATAAATAAGTATGAGCAGCCCTTGTAATGAGACGTCATTCGCAGCGAGTGACGTGTTACAAACATACTCACATAATTTGACATTCACGCGCCCCTGAAAAAATTAATAACAATAGTGAACATGAGCTCCTACATAAAATCTTGCGCGAGTGCAAGTGCGTGCTATATTAACATATATACTTAATTCGTATACTGGCCGCTTCGCTTTATGCAATGTGTGTTCATTGAACTTTAAAATGAAATTAAATTAAAGCAGTCGTGTGGGTATGTATACAGCCCAGCAGCATCAGCACCCCCTACCAGTTCGTAGCATACATACATATATAGTGAGGTGACTAGAGGAGGAGGTGGAGGAGGAGGTCACTCTGTCGCAATTTTAACCGTTTACTCTGGAAAAGTGGAAAGAGAGAATGAGAGGTTTTACGAGCCGCGCGCGTGGAGCAATGCAATGTGTGCCAGGACGCATTGACTTGATTAAATTTACCATGAGGGTGAGTGAGAATACACAAACATACCCGCTCATACACACATACACACACACGCATATACAGAAAGCGCTGCTACGACTCCTCCAAAAAAAAAAAGAAAAGAAAAAAAACTAGAATGAAATGTAAGAAGTTCGTCCTTTTAATTTCATCCACGATTCTCGTGTTGCTACTGCTACTGCTTTATTTTTTCTTTTTGTCATTTCATACATACATACATTTTAATTTACTTTCGTTTTCTTCTGCTACTTCTTTTTCGACCCATTTTTCATAATCTATTTTTGAGTACATTTTTTAATTTTTTGAATTGTCTACATCGTATATCCTTAGTATGTTCCAAAACAATCAAGTTTTTTATCGATTCCAGGTTCTTTCAATAAAAATATCATTTAATTATATATGAGTGTTTCTGACTAACTTTTAAAATTGCACGTACTGATGTGTAAGTCAGGTAATTTACCATGCACAGTTCTGAAATTTTATCAGGGTCTTTAAGAAGACTTGAGAGATCTACACTTTTATTTTTGAGCGTTTTGGTGGCCCGTCCTTTTTGTATCGCACGTTTGAAAATCGATTTTACTCTTGAGTCAAAAAACGTACTGCGAATAAAATAAATTTTCGATAGCTTCTTAAAAAATGGACTATTAACCAAATGATCTGAAATTATCATGTTACCTTCCTTTATTCACATACTTTAGAAAAATTTGTGACCTGAACTTGATCCTCCTAAATTGGAAATTTCCCAGAATGTTTTCCGCGCGTACTGGATTATTTGAACTTTTAGCTTTTTTTATACATTTTCATTTTTTACAATGGACTATTGTTTTTTTTTATATCTGTATACATGTTTAAAAAGGGCTGGAAAAGACGAACAAAATGAGCCCAACCAGAACTCTGTCCCTTATTTAATAAGAATTGTACGCTGGATTGAACATTCGATAATCCTGCGTTAATCACTTAAAAATTTTTGAAAAAAATTTTTTTTTCATGAAATTTTTTTCTACTATGAATAAATTAATTAATTTATAAAAAAAATTTTTTTCATGGGAAATTTATAAACAATTTTTATAAAAAATTTTTTTTTTCATGAAAAATTTTTATAAATATATTTTTTTTCATGAAAAATTTTTTTCTTATCATGAATAAATAAATTATTCAACAAATAATTTTTTTTCACACACTTTCTTTTTTTATTTAAAAAATTTTGCTATATCATCAAGGGCAAGGCCGTAAAAAAAAAATTTTACATTTAATTCATTTATAATGACTACGCAATTCGCCTACGTAGATAATTATGTGCGGGATGATATAAGTAATGTCACATGAAAACACATGAAAGAAAAAGGGGTTTTTTCGCTTCAAAAAGTGCATAAGGAAACTTGAAAAAATCCAAAGAAATTTAAGGTCATGTTTTTCAATGCATAAAACAGAGAAAAAAATTTTCGAGTTTGATATTGGCTCGTATCGCCGTATATAAATTTTCCAAATTTTTAATTATTTTATCTGAAGGCCTGAAGCCCTCGAAAAATCTGAAGAAATTCAAGGTGCTTAGTTTTGTTGATATGTACTATTATGAATTTTTTCAGATTTTTTAATTACTTCAGGGCTTCAGAATGAATATAAATAAAGAATGGACGTTTATAGGGGTGGAGGGGGTAGGAGGGGGGGATGGGGAGTAAAATTTTGGCTTTAGGATTTTTTTACCATGTACTATAACATATCAAAAGCGCATCTAGATCGGTGTCATTCGAAAATTTGAAGAAGTTTTATTTTGACCCACATTTAAATCGGGTTTCCCAAATGGACTATGGAGGAAAATAAAGCCCAAAGTTATTTTTGGGATTCTTTGTTGATAATATTCAAGAAAAATTCATTCCGGATACTGTGCCGCTAAATTTTTCATCAAAAATTTTTTTAGGCGTTATTTTAAAAGTTAGTCAGAATCACTCATATACCAGTGAAACATATTTAATAATACTTTTAAATATAAAAATAATTATAGATTTTTATAACCTTTTTAGAAAATAATTTTGTTCAATACGCTGTTTTTACAATGCTTTACCAATGTATTAATTATTGACTTTGAAAAAAAATTTCCTTTTGAAACCCCAATCAATCGCCTCCTGCAAGCCAAGCTAGTAATTTAATTAGTCGCGAGTCAATTTATCTCCGGATACGCGGACGCTTCATCCGAATCATCGCCTCTTTTTTTCATACATGCAATTTTTTACTTTCTTTTCAGAATCTGATTAATGGTTTTTTTTAGTCTTACTGGTTAGAGTAAAATTGCTGGTATAAGTTCGTGGGAAGTATTCATTTCTTAACGGGAATTGTTGACAATGTCTTTTTTTTTAGATTTTACGCAAGGATGAGAGATCCGGCTATAACGCGACTACCTTTGCCTTCAATTTAGTGTGCGTATATATCCTGAGAGCTTTGTGCGGTATTGAATCCGAGTATATATAGGGTGGTAATCATCATCTCGAAATGAGCATGTTAATAAAGCCTCTCCTCCTCTTATTTCCCTGATGGCTTATTTGTTATTATAATGCGGAGAGAGACAAATGTGGAGTACTATAATGATTCGTCTCTATTCGTTGCTTAAGAGCATTTCGTGATTATTCCGAGGAAAATTTTAGTATTTATAACTAGCTTTGCGCACTCTGCTATGTTAAACGTTGACCACTGAATAATTGATTCTTCGGAATACTTGCGTGATATTTTCACATTTAAATGAACATTATAAAACCAAATAACTATATTATCTTATCCAAAATCTACAATGATTTATACGACAATATAATAACACATTAGATTGAAAGGCTGAAAATAGTATTTTCGGAATAAAAAGCTTTGAAAAATATCAATAGAAAATAATAATGTGACCTCATATGAATAATTTCTAATAATAATTAATTATTATTAATATTTTTATTGACAATAACTGTCACTGAAGTTAAAACTTATTTAAACTGAAATGGAAGTAAAAAAATGTACGCAAAAAAACTTTGCAAGTATATATAACAGCATATAATGCACACGACTTACCTTGCGAGCAGCATGGAAGTCAATACGATAGCTTAGCTCGAAACCGCGGATGGCGCCGCAGTGCAAGGTGCACATCCATCCGTAGCATACACGTATATATGTCTGCAGCCGTTATACGTGTAAGATGCATACATTTACACGTGTGCAAGGCAGAGGATGGAGTAGGGCAAAAGTTTTCGAATAGCAAACTATAAACGATTTCTCCAACTCCTCTGCTCTTCTCTATATACGCTCGTTCGAGCATAATTGAAGCTGACGAGCGAGAGTAGGGGAGATGGAGGAGCAGAAGGAAGAGGAGGAAGTGAGAATCAATGGCTATAAACCGATTAGCGCCGTTCAACCGCCACCATTGCCGCTCTGCGCTCCTGCCAGTACAGAGTATCTCGTTCAGCTACGTATTTGACATTAAAAAGACAATTAAATTACGATCGCTTCTATTCCAAGTTCTAATGTAAAATTTATCTAATTATTAAACTTCTTTGTTCCGTCGAGATGAAATAAAGCAAATAACAGATTATTTTCGCAACAAGCTAAACGTCTTTTTATTACTATAATCATTGCATTAAGAAAGAATCGAAATGCTACAGTTAATTACAATTGATGGGATGATTTCCGGCTACATTATTGGAGGCAGCCATCGTTGAAATTCGGTCGTCGTTATCAAGGTTATGTCGTCGAGGCTGCCGAGGCCGATGCTGACGCCGCTGTTGCTTGTGGCTGACTATTGGACGATGCGGAGCTGCTCGGCGGCGCGGCATACGGACTACCGCAAAGCAGGTCGGCTATGCGGCCACCCTCGCGCAGACCGCTCAGGAAGGCACCGTGAACCGTCGCCGGATAATTGCGGATCGTGTGCTCGCCTATATAACGTCCACGCACAAATGGACAGACAAACGACGTGTGAATATATATGTATCCATGCATAATATTATATGTATATTGTATATAATGTATATATATCACGTGTATGCAATACATATGCACGTGAACGTGCGTATGACCGAACTATAACTATTGTTATTATTGTTGTCGTTGTCGTATTATACCTGCGAGTGAGCCGTACTTGCTGCTATTGCTGCTGCTGTGAGCATACATGTATGTGTGCACATATATTATACGCATACGTGTGCGTTATACTTGACGGAGTGTCGCAGCTGCTTATACCTTATATCTGGATACATGTACGAACGTTCATGACTTGAATGGTTTGGGCAGCAGAGTTTGTCACTGCAGCGAACTGGACTATCATTATCAGTGATGCAGGCCTACTATGCGGCGTCACTGAGCAGCGCAAATACGAGTTCCTCTCGAGAGCGCTACCCGACACAACTAGTTTCATCGAAAGCCTTTGAACATTATTACGACAGGAATCACGGATAAGTGGATGCGCTGATCGCGAAAAATCAATTAGACGCATTTCACTTGCGTATGCAGCAAATCTCTTTTTCATTAACTCGCGCGCGCAAAACCCGTTCGTCAATCTCGCTGCTCTGCGTGTAAACGCGGCAAACGCACGCACGCACGCGACAATCCGCCCGCTCGCGAGACTGCTCGCGCGCATAACTTTACGTAACATTTCCCTAGCTATTTCTCCGACAAGCACTTGACTAACGTCAAGAGCAGCCACACGCGTATAATATGTATGTACATGCATGCTTCAGCAGCAGCAGCAGCAGCACAAAATATGTATCTCTCTCTTTCTTGAACTAGCAGGCAAGAAAAAACCAGCGATGCCGCGTGTAAGTTATTCTACTCACCCGCGAAGAAGACGCGCGGCTGAGGCGCGGCTGCACCGGGAGGAGAATGATTGCTCGCCGGAGGTGACACGGGGGCCGCCAGAAGGTCGTAATCGCTGCCTGAGCTCCCAACGGCTACGAAGCTGTAAGAACCCCGGGCCCATGGGTCGGCGCGCCAGCGGGTAACTACGCTCTCTTTCGGCTGCGGTACTTGATTCCCGAATATTCCCTATGAAATTAACATTTTTTATTATTAATATTTTATTACATTATTTTCTAATTATGGTTTTTATTTTGTAAACAAACGCTTTGAATCGTTCAAGACTTATGCGGTTGGTTCTATTTTTGATTTCGCATATCTTTAGTTAATTATATGATTAATATTGACAAATTTTATGAAAAAACAATGATATAACTGTGGCATTTCACGTCAACTCTCCCAGTGCCGCACGGCGCGGCAGAATTAAGTCAAATCACTAAATTTGTAAATCACTGTAAAAGTACTAAAATGCACCTTGAGAAAAAAACGAACATATGATTTCGATGGGAAATTGCCTCAGCTTTCTGATGGTGAGGTCAGATTTTCCAAAATTTTCCGCTTTAACCGGGAAAATCGCTGGGAAAACTTAAAATTCGATTATCTCGAAAACTTCATTTTTAAGATTTTTTTTAATAGTCTAGATCGAAAGATCAGGAAATTTCCCATCGATATAGACATTTTCCAGAGAGGCGTTTTTTGATTTTAGCGAGATATAGCGAGAGAAAGAAGAAAAAACAACTAAACAAAAAACCACGTTTTTTCTGGTAAAAACAACTAAACAAAAAACCACGTTTTTTCTTCTTTCTCTCGCTATATCTCGCTAAAATCAAAAAACGCCTCTCTGGAAAATGTCTATATCGATGGGAAATTTCCTGATCTTTCGATCTAGACTATTTAAAAAAATCTTAAAAATGAAGTTTTCGAGATAATCGACTTTAAAGTTTTCCCAGCGATTTTCCCGGTTAAAGCGGAAAATTTCGGAAAATCTGACCTCACCATCAGAAAGCTGAGGCAATTTCCCATCGAAATCATATTTTCGTTTTTTTCTCAAGGTGCATTTTAGTACTTTTACAGTGATTTACAAATTTAGTGATTTGACTTAATTCTGCCGCGCCGTGCGGCACTGGGAGAGTTGACGTGAAATGCCATAACTGAAAATTAATTTTTGTTAGTACACCTTTTTCGGTATATGAGTTGATTATAATTGAAAAATGTGTTACTCATCAAGTTTTTTATCGTCATCAAGATAATTCTTTTACAATACAAAAGTATAAAAGAAAGAAAATTATGTACTTTAATGTTCACTCGGTAATGCTGACAGCGAGGAATGAAATTAGATAAATATTTATATAGTTCAAAAGTAAAAGGGCCGAGGCGCCAGACATTCATGTGAACATCCGCAATTTTCGTTAGTTTGATTATTGTTATTACACTTTGGCGCGCATTACACTCTGGCAATGTAATTTCGAGCAATTTTTTTTTTCTTATCATCAAACAAGTACTTCGGCCTTCAAAAGCTGGGCGAAGAAAGAAGGAGCGCTTAAAGTACGCTTCAGAAAAATCTTATAGCGCGCATATTATGTCCGTGCCAGTCTCTGTTGCCTTTCCCTTTTATTTCATGCTGCTCTTCTCTGCTTCTCTTCTTCTACACTGCTTTTGAACGATGAAAAATGCTTGCGGGTAATTAATTTTGTCGCATGCTGGCCACCTAAGCCGGGAGATGTACAAGTTTAAACGTGTGTGTGTCCGTGTATGTGCCTGTGTATGAAAATATATACGCGAATAGCGAATTTGGTATGAGAAATGTGATAAGACGGAGCCGGAAAGTCTCAAAAGGAAGTCATGCAAGATAAGTGCCGACTCGTGTACAGTGGCGCGTATATAAAAGTTTCGTCGTATTATGCGCGATTTTCTTTATAATACACAACTTTGCGTCGCTTCTGTTTCCAAATCGAGCAGATTTCTTTTTCACACACAAAATATTTTCAAAGAAATTCGTGCATCTTGCGAACGAATTAGCTTAATTATGTCATTTGAATTTCTACGATGCAATATTCCGACTACTACATTGGCGTATCAAACTAGTAAAAGTTGGAATCGACTTGAATGAAAGAAAGAAAAAACAAAGAAGAACGCGTCAGTTGATTCGATTAGTCGGGTCGTACAAGTGAGTTGAGTTTGAGCCAAAGTTCTTATTCGATAACCAAAGAAATTTAGATTATACTGCCCAACTATAATGATATGCAATCGGCAATATCGAACTGACAGGCGAGTAATTTCAAAAAGTTAAGTTATGAGACTATTATCCAGCGTATTGAACGTGGCATAACATAATTATAGAATTAAATAGTTCATACCGATAATTATTCAATAAAACTAAATTAAAATATACTTTTGAAAAATGCCACGAAATTTTCCATTTGAAATTTCATAGTAGCATTGCAAAAGTTGGATATTTTCATTAATTGAAATATTGCCGAGATTAAACTAGAAATACGAAGCGCAGAGTCGAAAAAGCTAGAAGTGCTCGCAAGAGACACTTGGTTCACATACATAATATTGGAGTTGGCACACGCGGCGGATGCGTACGGCGATATGTAAAGTGAGCGCGCTGGAAGGCGCGCAAAAGCTTACCTTGAGCACGTGGATGCAACGACCTACGATAACGTCGTCGCTGATGGTCTCCATCACGCATGCCGCCTCACCTGCGACGAGCGCCAACAGTACCGGTGCTTTATACAAGTTCCAGAATAGAAATAATTCCCCGCGGGAGGCCGTCGTGCTGCCGACGTGACCGAAGAGGTTCGACGTCGGATCCCAGAAGATTTTGTCAAAGCACAGCACCACCTAGTCACATAAAACAAAAATCATTACTCGGTTTGATTCCGCTTGCCTTGCTCCCTTTATGCTGAAACTTTTTCGTATCATCAATCGCGAGTGCTTTGACAGCTAAGCTTAGCCTAAATTGCACACGTACGCAAGAGTGGATTAATTTTCTTTGTGCGCATTATATACATATATGTTTAGCTCGCTCGAAACGTGTTTATTCATAATATTTCATCCGGGCCGCCTGTGGCAGCGCCGTTGCAAGCTTATCTTTGTAATACTGACGAAGTGTGTAGGCCTTCTCTTTAAGCTAATTACGCCCGCTCCGAGAAATTAATTACACGAGCGCACGCGGTGATAAGGGGCGTCGTCGTAGTCGTAGCCTCGTCCGCTCTCTTTAGCAAGAAGCTCGACGCTGCTACTGCTGCTGCCACTGTTCTGTGTACCTATACACACACACCGACGCAGCGCGCACAGGTATATAGACTGCAGAGTACGCCGCGTATGAATAAGGTGTGCGCAAGTGCTCGCTTATATCTGGCCCTTTGTGTGCCCTCTTCCGTGCTCTCACTCTCGAGTAGGCCATTACTAAATTACTAATTTAATTAGAGAGAAAGAAAGAAAGCACGAGGGCTGCTGCTGCTGCCACTGCTACTCACACCACGTTGTACCGCTACATACAGCTGCTTATACTACTGCGCTGTTTTGTACTCGCTGACGTATTTACTACTGGACACGCACATTTTTAATTATGCATCAAACTAGAAAAGACAGCATCAAGGTATACCATGGGGGGAGAGTGAGTTGCTGCTTTTCCACCATAAAGCGACACGAGCTGGATGAAGAATTTCATTCCATCAATTTTATTATTACGCACACAGAACCTTTGAGATCAACTTTCATATTTTCTCACCTCCTTTCATTAACTGATGATAGTCCTGAAACTCGACACTCTGCCTAATTAGACTAACAATATTTAACATAATTATGTTGTTTGATATTTTTCGTAGTATTTTTTTTTCTGAAAAAATGCCTCATGAGTGCTTAATCACATCGTTTCTTTTCACAATTTTGTCTGGAATTAAAACTTAATTATTAGTAAATTGATAAAGTAATAAACTGTTTGAGCACCTTAGAGATACCGATCGCAAAATTCTTACGCAAGAATTCCAGGATTTCTCGAGTTATACATTTTTATCTAATACGGTAGTTTCAAGTTAAAAGTTCATTGAATAAAAAATAATTTACTGCATAAAAGCTGCTGTTACAGCAGTCGAAAGTTAGCAAAAAGTAGGTGATTAAAAATTCCTCAACATTCAACAATGACCAAACATGTTTTAATGAAAAAATCATAGATTAACAACTGTGTTTTATTTAATAAGATAATTCGAAATACTTGTTACCGTCACTATTAAAAACTAACTGATTACTCACGCGATTAATGAAAAGTAGTAGAATAATGTACGTTAATTTGATACTACTGTTTCAATATCCAAAACAACTGTATAAGTCTACTTCTGTAGTATTGATAACTTATTAAATAATAATAAAATATTTTTTACCTTATTGAGATTTCCAAAACCAAGTCTCTGTATCGCTTGTGCCTTCCAATCAGGTAAGGGCGGAGTAAAGGTAACTTTTGATTGAGGATGCTCGGCTTTGAGCACACCCAGTGGCAGAGTTACTAGAACCGCATCGCACTTGTGGCAGGTTGTCTCAGACGATGGAACAGCGTTTGCCGGTGACGTATACACCTCGACACCATCGGTGCTATAACGAACACTGCGAACAGCTGTTTCCAATCGAATGTCCAGACCTTCCGATAAAGCAACTGGTACGCATGAATAACCATTTCGAACTGAAATCAAATAAAAGGTAGTATGTAAATATTAAAAGAAAAAAGCTAGAAATTTTAGGCTCAATATTTTCAGAAATCAATGAAAAACAATCTTGCAAATTTACGCATTTTTTAAAGGTGCAATATCAGATATAATTTTTGAAAAAAGTATCGTCCATGTTGTGCAAAATGACCAATTCTCGAATGTAAAAAAAAACAGAACGTATGATACAAAAAAATAATGGTGAAGCGCGTCTGCGTAATGTATGTATCTGACAAAAAAGTGGAAAATTAATGATCCGCGGACTAGCGCGTGAAATGAAACAAGCTTTCGTCGTGAAAAAGAATGATGTCCAAAATTAAGAGGGACACTCGCTCTTTCTCTCCCTCGACCCAACTCGTGTGCGAGTATATACATCATTATATATAGCAGCAGCTACGAGTAGCGACTACCGATGAAAGAGAGAAACAGAGAATTTGTTTGTCTTTAATTTATGCCCGCGCTTATCGCTTACAGAAATCTCACGAGCGATTCTGCACTGGTGTTTGCGAGTGTGCGCGTTCAGTTTCATCTGTGTGTGTGTGTGCGAGCGCCGCGAATTTATAACGCTCGTTAGCCGCAACACTATCGAGACATGTGGTCTTTTCCTTCTTGGCTCTCGTCGAATGTGGACAATACCGCTGTTGGACCATGTATGCGTCCGCTCTACGCTGAAGCATCATTTTTCTTGCGCGGCTTCCGGTATGAGCGAAAATACATGTAGTTCGAACTCGTACGTGAGAAAATCTGTGCTATTTTTCTTCCCGCTACTGCTGTATAGGCAAAAAGTATACTTTATTTACGCAGCTCGCTTATATATCTGTATCTATACACGCGCAATTTGTGAGAGAAATTTCACTTTGGAAGTTAACGACTGCACTGGTAGCGGGAAGATTATAAGCATTAGCGCAGCGATTCCGAAGCTGCGAACGAAGGAATCAATGCCAATCACGTAGGGGCCGAAACAGTTCGACACTCGGGAGCTCTCGGCACAAATTGTTTTTGAATCCTGCATGCTGCATGTGTGCTGCCTATGTGTGTGTGTATATATATATATATAAATGCACTGCGCGTTTAAAACTTACTTGGTAAAACGAGGATTTGAGTATATGCGCGCGAGCGGCAGGGCAGGCGGGCGGCGGTTTACCATCGCACGCGGACGTATTAATTAACTCGAGCTCTCTCGAGCGTTCTCGCTTTTTCCCGATTGGGCCAAAAAGCGCAGAATTTCGATTCGAGACGAAATAATGTATAAATTTGTTGGCTGCACTCGCGCCCATTGCGAGTTGCATTTTCTGTATGTATAACATATAATGCTATTAACAGAAATATAAAGTCGCGTTATCACGCCCAGATTTACGGTAATTTTTTTGCGGGTAATGCAACCTGCAAATTAATACTATTACGATATGAAATTTTAAATGATTTAAACTTACTATAAGTGAATACTTCAAATGATACATTTGAGAAACCTAGGATAATTTTAGACTGTTCTATTAAATTTTTAATAAAAAAAAAAAATGGAACCTTTTTCAATGATAAGAAATTAAGATGCTATTCTTTATTATATTTAAAGTCTAAGCTCAACGATCCAACTCCGCATCTCAACTGAATGAAATGCTAAGCTCGACAAATTGTTCGAACGACCGAACGGTACACAACACGTACAGTTAAGGTACAGATAGGAAAAAACAGGCCAAACTACAAATGATTGAGAGTTGAATGTTTTCAACACCAACGAGCTCGACTATATATATGCGCACGTGTATGTATAAACGCGCAGCGCAGCACACGCATCCAGAGTCGTAAATAAAATACGAAGTATAAAACACGGTGGGTACGACGACATCCAGAAGTGTCAGAAATGTACAACGAGCAAGGAGTTCCCGAACCATCTCACGTTTCGCTTTCTCGCGAATGGGTGCAATGCAGTGCTCAACTTTACGAGCGAATCCATTAAATTTTATCTTCCGCATTTAAATTACGAGTATGTGTGAGCGAGCTGCGCGCATGGCTGCAGGGGTCGATCAGTTGGTGCTGCTGCTACGTCTGTAGCACCACCCGCGATGGTAAAAAAAAACTAAACTACTCAGATGATTATGAAAAAGAGATATAGATAACGTTAATCGATTAGATAAGAACAAGCGCTAAGGGTTCGTTGGCCCTGTATATATATATATATGAGCAGTTTTTTCATATATGTACAACTTTTGTGCGGGGGGTTCTCGGATCTGCCCCAAAATTTAGTATGTTATTTGGGTATGTGAAAATAGCCTTCAGGTAAATTTTTAGCCCTCTAGGGGCCTTAGGGCCCAAATTTGGACCCCTCGAAGGTCCAAAAATAGCCGTTTTTACCTATTTTTGCGTATTATTCAAATATTTGTAACTCGGGCACCGGTGCATATTTTTTAACTCTGAGGGTCGCATTTTTTAGGTCAAGACATGTACTTTTCGTAAAAAAATTATGTAGAGCTCGATAGACCAACCCCCGGTTATGAGGGGGCAATGAAGGGGGATGAAAAATCGCAAAATTGACGTTTTTTAGCTTTTTTTGAATTGATGCAGAAGGCGACTGGATTGACGTATTTACTTTTGCAACGTCTCATTTTAAAGGTATTTTTATTACCTTTAAATTGCCGTGCGCAGAATTAAGATTGGTTCAAAAACGACGGAGATAGAGCTGTTTAAAGGTGTCAACATTATGAAAAAAGGCGTTTTTTCGAGATTTCGATAAGCTGTAACTTTTTTCTAGTAACATGAATCTCTTTGAAATTTTATGTGAAAGTAGTTGATTACATGTAGTTTGAAGCCATGTAGGTAAGGATCTTGGTATTTGCCTCTATAACCGAAAACGAGGCCCCCGAAATCCGGCACTTTAGCCCTTATATAGGCAAAATACATGTTAAATTGGGCGGCAAAACTATTTGGTAACTCCTGAAATTATCGCAAAATAAACATAAAAAAAAAATCAAAAACCCCATATTAAACGTATTTTTCGACGAGGAATCCAATGGTAACCTCGAATTTGACCTTGAACATAACCTCTAAACTATAGCGAACCAAAATTGATTTTTCGCACGGTGACCCCCTTTTTTTATTTCAGATTTGAAAAGAGCGGAAAATTTCACGTTCAAATACATATTTCGTTTTTTTTTTCAAGGTAATTTTAAGGGCCCCACAGATCAAGAATAAACTCTTTGGCTGAGTTTAATATTAGTTTTAATGGAGCCTTCATTTTCAAACTGTGGGGCCCTTAAAATTACCTTGAAAAAAAAAACGAAATATGTATTTGAACGTGAAATTTTCCGCTCTTTTCAAATCTGAAATAAAAAAAGGGGGTCACCGTGCGAAAAATCAATTTTGGTTCGCTATAGTTTAGAGGTTATGTTCAAGGTCAAATTCGAGGTTACCATTGGATTCCTCGTCGAAAAATACGTTTAATATGGGGTTTTTGATTTTTTTTTTATGTTTATTTTGCGATAATTTCAGGAGTTACCAAATAGTTTTGCCGCCCAATTTAACATGTATTTTGCCTATATAAGGGCTAAAGTGCCGGATTTCGGGGGCCTCGTTTTCGGTTATAGAGGCAAATACCAAGATCCTTACCTACATGGCTTCAAACTACATGTAATCAACTACTTTCACATAAAATTTCAAAGAGATTCATGTTACTAGAAAAAAGTTACAGCTTATCGAAATCTCGAAAAAACGCCTTTTTTCATAATGTTGACACCTTTAAACAGCTCTATCTCCATCGTTTTTGAACCAATCTTAATTCTGCGCACAGCAATTTAAAGGTAATAAAAATACCTTTAAAATGAGACGTTGCAAAAGTAAATACGTCAATCCAGTCGCCTTCTGCATCAATTCAAAAAAAGCTAAAAAACGTCAATTTTGCGATTTTTCATCCCCTTTCATTGCCCCCCCATAACCGTGGGTTGGTCTATCGAGCTCTACATAATTTTTTTACGAAAAGTACATGTCTTGACCTAAAAAATGCGACCCTCAGAGTTAAAAAATATGCACCGGTGCCCGAGTTACAAATATTTGAATAATACGCAAAAATAGGTAAAAACGGCTATTTTTGGACCTTCGAGGGGCCCAAATTTGGGCCCTAAGGCCCCTAGAGGGCTAAAAATTTACCTGAAGGCTATTTTCACATACCCAAATAACATACTAAATTTTGGGGCAGATCCGAGAACCCCCCGCACAAAAGTTGTACATATATGAAAAAACTGCTCATATATATATATTATATGGGCGTGTGTCTAATAGTTTCGACATTTTTCAGCTATATTTTTATAACATTTTTAGAACAAAGTGGAGGCAGTTGGATGTGATGTTATTTTTTGCCATAAAAGCTTGAATATTTATCGCCTCAAAATTGACAAAGAAAACTGTTTTTCTACTTTAGACAAAATGTTTTCCGGCAGCCAGTAATAGCAACTATAAAAGCATCTTAACATTATTGAAAAGTATTTTATTTTGCAATGATTCTTTTACTCATCGCGCAATTGTTGATAACGTGAATATAGTTTGCAAAAATATTTATTTTATAAAGGTAACAATCAAGCTTGCGCTCGTTAACGTCAGAACCGCTTCCACTCGAAACTGGGACTTTTTCACACCTCGATAGTGCAAAAAATGAAAAAAAAATTATATATTTCGCGCTATAAAGCGTGTCTCTTTATAATTCGGTATTTACAGTAGTAAGTGCACGCGGACTCTCTCGACTCGTTTAATCATACATTTCTCAACGATTTGCGAAATTCAACATGCAAAAATCTCGCACCTTTTATATATACGCAAGCTCCCCTGTGTTTACTCGCATATATATACATTTGTTCTGGCAATCAATTATTTTCACGCTCGGTCTAACGCGCCCTTCTATAACTAATTGTCGCGCCCACGCGCGCGTATGTGTGTGGATGCATGCGTGTACGTTTGTACGTATTGAACTGGCAGCTCGCTGCACCCCCAT